GCTTCTTAGCCTTTTGCCTTATTTTAGGGGGTTGAAAACCCTTGACAGTTCCAGCAAGCAATCACATTTCACATATGAACAACAAAAAACTTAATATTAGTAAAGCAAAAAGGACTTTTTATAAAACGAAGAAGTAATATAAGAACTTTTTATTATTCGAATTCAACTGACAAACGAAACTGGAGTTATATAGGATTTTTGTTTTAAATCACCTCAAGTAGATATAACAACGGGTCCAAATCTTCACTCCCAAGTAACCGAGATCATCGAATTATCTAGTCCAGATTGTTCAAAAGTCTCGTTAGCTCCATAATCAAGAATCTTGGAAGCACCAGGAATCGCTTGTACAAGCTTGAATGCTTTCATTCTCTCGGATTCTTCCATGTGAGCATAACAGAATGACCAAAGAAGCTGAACTGGTTCACTCTTAAGAAACTTCCTCTGCTTTCTTTTCCCATCTGGAAATCGAACACAGAGACTACACACAAGGCTTCGATCACAATCTCCTTTTGGCTCTTCTGTCAAAACCAAGAACTCAAACACGTCGCTTGGGTCTTCAGTATAAATGTTAGGAACAGTGTAGTTGCTTGGTGAACAAGTTATCTTCTCGATTTTTATGCGTTTGTTGCTTGGTGAACAAGTTATCTCCTCTGGTTTTTTGCGTTTGTTGTTTCTCAGAGAAGCAATGTGTTGGTTAGGACCAGCATCCATGTATTTCATCAAATCCTCAACAAAACTTTGGGCATCAATCACACCACTCCACATACGCATCTTCTGACCAGTGATCGGATCGAGGAGGAGAACAACAGGAGGAACAGATTCGATCTTGTAGAAACTAGAGACTTTATGTCCTTCGTCAGTATCATCATAGACTTGCAACAAGGTGAAGCTAGACTTCATGGCTTGAGAAACGGCTTCGTTTGACCATAAATCTCTGTTTAGAGCATGAGAAGCAAACTCGGTCTTGGATTGAATATTCACTAGCAACCATAAATTATCTCTAGAAGAAACCGATTTCGCGTCTTGAAACAAACCTTTGAAAAGCAAATATTTAGGAGGACGGTACAAGGAAGACAACTTCGATTCTGGTCCGGCTTGTGTCGTCCAATCTGGTCCGGCTTGTGTCACCGAATCATCCCAGATACGTTCAGGACATACAGGGACCGAAGTGTGCATGGAAGGACCATAGAGAGTATCCTTCCTCGAAGGAAGAGGCCTACGGATTTGTTCTTCATCTTGAGAGTTTTGATAGGAAATAGGTTGATAATTAGATCCATGGATGAGAAAGAGGTTAATGGCATCTTCAAGATTCCAGTTTGTTGCCTTTAGGAACTGTAATGCGGTTTCCATGTTATGATCAACAGCGATCTCGACAAAAGATGAGATCAGTTTGTCTTGGTCGCTCGTTACAACATTCTCCATTGGTTGATGTTTCTTAATTAGAGAGAAATAAAAATATGAGTCGATTGAAGAAGGCAAGAGAGAAATTTGTGAGAATTTGATTGAGCAACTCTTACCTTTGTGATTATATGGAGATCCTTAGAGCTTTGCTTCCTTCTACTGCTCGGTTTATGTTCAACGCACAAAAAAAAGGAAATTCCTTTTTTTTTTGTTGCTTTATTTGATAAATATTTCATTTTTTTGGGGGATATATACGGTTTTGTGTTGTACTTTACCTTTTCTTTTTTTATAATTACTATAAAAAAGTCGGTGGCATTATTTGTTTTTAGGTTTTCGTTAATTTTTTGAGTAATATATTTTCATTAAATAAGAAAAAGTGGCAAGAGAGCTCATGAATGCTCTACAGAAGCCTACCTTATGATATAGATATCAAACTTGAACCCTAATTATCTTTGTGAGCACCAATAACTACAATCAAATTATCTATTATAACGTTTGACCTTTGAAGTGTCGAAAAAAACCTTTGTCGGCTCTTGTCGCAGAAACTCGAGCTATGAAGGCTGCTCTAATCTATGCAATTGAGATATTGGATGCGATAATATTACCATGATGTTCTGATTCGCAAACTCGGATCCATCTTCCTAACACCATTGCGTCTCCTACCAAAGTGGATGTCCTCCTAGACGACATTAGAGAATTGGCAACCTTTGAATCTATCTTACTTCAGTTTGTACCACGTACTTCTAATCATGTTTGTAATAGTGTTTTAATCAATAGCAATTATGGTTCGTGACCAAAAAAAAAACTTTATAATTTGCCGTGAGTAATTTCTTCTCGACCTTTGCAAAGTTTGGTATTGAAAAAAAGATTTGCGTCGTCCAAATTTCAAAGTGTTGAATGATGATGATGATGGTTTTCGTTTGTGTAGCAAATAGCAACGGTTGGCTAAGACGCTTCAATAGGTTGCATGGAAACGGAAACAGCTACGTGTGGAAACGAAACGTTTGGAAACGTGAAAACGATTTTTTAAAAAAATTTAGGAAACGGATACATTTTGCAAACACGCACGCGCGGACACATATATATATACAACATCAAAAACAATATTTAAAACAATTTAAACTATACAAATTATATACATAAATATTAAATAGCTTAACAAAAGCAAATACTATAATAATTTTGTTGTTTTTAACCTATATACAAACGCAAATTTTTCATAATTTTATTGTTTTTAATCTATAAAAATACTAAATATATCCATACATTTCCAAGCTTTTTAATTATTACGTAAGAAACAATTTTTCATCGCATTCCAAAATGTAATCGAACATTTCCGTCGTATTTCCAATTTGAGATTTCTAGGAAACGAGTTTCCGTCGTGTTTCCAAAATGGAATTAAAGTTTCCATCGAGTTTCCAAATTAAAATATTTTAGAAAACGCGTTTCCGAATTAAAATTTTTTTTTAGAAAACGCGTTTACATAGAGTTTCCAAGAGTTACGGTTTCCGAAAAGTTTCCGAAACGGGAAACGCACCTCGGATGGAGTTTCCATGTAACCTAGCGCCTCACATACATTTAAGATAAATTCAATTTCCTTAAGCGAAATAGGCATGAATATGGTGAAAAATATAGCCATTCCATGTAATGTTTTGATCCAATTTCTAGACCCATTATTAGTTATCAAAAGATTGACACAATTGCCAATAAAAATAATTGAAAGACAAGAAACAAATATCACTAGTCTTCTTCCATTGGAACTTGTGGCATGTCATTTACGTCTTCTTTGATCGGCTGGTTGATCAATGTAGAAGATGAAGGAGAATCACTCGGCTTCTCTCCACGGTTTCTGCTATTATCAAGCTCTCTCAGTATTTCTGGAGTAATCTGCAATGGTAATTGAGGTAAAAAAAATAGATACACAGAAATATTAAAGAATTTTTATTAGATAAGAGAAAGAGGTCATACAAGATTGTGATATTGTTTCTCAAGTAAACTTATGAGACACTTTTTATCTTCCTTTCTTATTTTGTGCTTGTATCTGCAAAAGTAGAGGTTTTAACATAGAGAGTTTCAGAAGCTGAGAGCTATGCAATTAAATGAAGAAGTGTTATATCTTACAGTTGCACAAAGGCAAGAAGAGTTTGATGCCAAATAACGAGCATAAGTCTTGTCTCCTTATGAAATCTCAAGAAGTGACAAGTGACTGCATCAATAACGAGATACGACAAGGCGTATTTCTTCTCCAATATAACTTTAATGAAATAACTTCACACACAGAACAAACACAAAATGAAACCG